GCTTCTCTGGGATGACCAGAGGCCAGAGCTGCCTCCAGCTTCTCCTTATAGCTATACTTGTCCAACTGTATTTGTCTCTTAATATGTCTCTGTATGTCTCTCCGAGCAGACTCATCCTGGTCTTCACAATAATCAGCTTCTTTAAACTGTGGTGTCACATTTCCTCACCTTGTCACAAGCACTCAAACTAACAAACTAAAACAAGCAAAATGCCAGCGTGAAACCCCGCAGGGCAGAAACCCCGCAGGGCAGAAACCCCGCAGGGCAGAAACACCGCAGGGCAGAAACACCGCAGGGCAGAAACCCCGCAGGGCAGAAACACCGCAGGGCAGAAACACCGCAGGGCAGAAACACCGCAGGGCAGCCAATGAGCAGCGCCCCGGAAGTGTCAAAAGTGGCCCCGGAAGTGTCAAAAGTGGCCCCGGAAGTGTCAAAAGTGGTATTTCCGGGGCCACTTTTGACAGGTGAGAGACAGACAGGCAGGTGAGAGACAGACAGGTCAGAGACAGGTGGCAGACAGGCAGGTGAGAGACAGGCAGGTGAGAGACAGACAGACAGGTGAGAGACAGACAGGCAGGTGAGACAGACAGACAGACAGGTGAGAGACAGAGAGACAGGCAGACAGGTGATAGACAGACAGGCAGGTGAGAGATAGGCAGGTGAGAGACAGACAGGTGAGAGACAGACAGACAGGTGAGAGACAGACAGGCAGGTGAGAGACAGACAGGTCAGAGACAGGTGGCAGACAGGCAGGTGAGAGACAGACAGGCAGGTGAGAGATAGACAGGCAGGTGAGACAGACAGACAGGTGAGAGACAGAGAGACAGGCAGACAGGTGATAGACAGACAGGCAGGTGAGAGATAGGCAGGTGAGAGACAGACAGGCAGGTGAGAGACAGACAGGCAGGTGAGAGATAGGCAGGTGAGAGACAGACAGTGGCAGACAGGCAGGTGAGACAGACAGACAGGTGAGAGACAGACAGACAGGTGAGAGACAGACAGACAGGTGAGAGACAGACTTTATATATGTATTATATTTATACCAGAGGAGAGAGTCTCTAAACTACATCTCCCATGATGCCTTGCTGTTACCGTCATCTGAGTGAGGTTCTGCTCCACAGAGTGCACCATGCTCTCCAGATCCTGCGCCTCCTGCTCCTCCCGACGCCTCCTCTGCAGCAGCTCCTCCGTCAGCTGCTCCACCCTGAGAGGCATCGGGTCAATATGGCAGAATTTGGAGATGTTTAGAAACGAGTCAGATTTTGGAGAGAACGTTTTTAAGAAAGTCAACATTTTAAGATTTTTAGATTATAAGAAAAAGTCAGAATTTTAAGAAGAACTCAGAACTTTAAGTGGACCTATTATGCTATATTGGAAACATATATTGTAGAGCCATACCAATACAAAACATGCCTCATACTGCTCATACCCCTCTTTTGCAGCCCTGTTAGAGAAACGCAGATTTTGGGTCGTTAGCTTGAAAAAGAAAAAAAAGAGGCGGAGCTAATGCCTGATCAGAATTCTACCGGAGATAAAGTTCAATTCTGCTGTGATAAAACGCCACCCTGTTCTAAACCACATCAAGGACTATTCCTGAAATAGTATGGAGCTCAAATGCTTTTTCTCTTGCACGACACAAGGTGAGTTCCTTTTTTTATTTCCTGCTATTTAAACACATGTGCTCTCACAGGTTAGCTCTGAGTGTTAGCGATGCTTTCTGTGGGTCCGCCGCCGATATTACGTCATATCGGCAGCAAATCTGTATCCGTTCGTTGTTCCCCCGTTTGTAAAAGATGTGGGGACGGAGTTTATTTTTATTTTTTTTTAGAAAGTCATAATTTTAAGAAGTCATAATTTTTAGATTTTTATAAAAAAGTCATAATTTTAAGAGAGTCTGAATTTTATAAAAGTGTCAGAATCTTTTGATTTTTATAAAAAAAAACAGAATTTTGAGATTTTTAAGAAAAAGTCCAAATGTTAAGAAAGTTCGAATTTTTAAGAAAGTCCGAATTTTGAGATTTTTATAAAAAAGTCAGATTTTAAGAAAAAGCAACATTGAGAAAAAGTCAGAATTTTGAGATTTTTATTAAAAAGTCTCAGTTGTGTGTACCTGTTGTACTTCCTGTTCATTATAACAGCTGTTACCTGCCGTGAGCTGTTACCTGCTGTAAGCTCCTCCCCCTGCGGTGAGCTGTTACCTGATGTAAGCTCCTCCCCCTGCTGTGAGCTGTTACCTGCTGTAAGCTCCTCCCCCTGCTGTGAGCTGTTACCTGCTGTAAGCTCCTCCCCCTGCTGTTACCTGCTGTGAGCCGTTAGGCTCGTTTGAGATGAGCGGATTTTGAGATTTTTATTAAAAAGTCAGAATTTTGAGGAAAAAGTCAGAATTTTTAGTAAAAATAATTTTGAGATTTTGAGGAGAAAGCCTGAATTGTGAGAATATAGATGGGTGACGGAGGGTGCTGTGTTATGATTGGCCGATGCTCACCTGAGCTGGTCGGCCTGTGAGCTCCTCTGCAGCTCCCGGATGGATCTCCTCAGATATTGGTTCTCTTCCTGCAGCTGACACACACAACACTCTTATTTTGGAGGGTACAAACAGGGAGTTGTGTTTCGTGTGTGTACCTGTTGTACTTCCTGTTCATTATAACAGCTGTTACCTGCCATGAGCCGTTACCTGCTGTAAGCTCCTCCCCCTGCAGTGAGCTGTTACCTGCTGTAAGCTCCTCCCCCTGCAGTGAGCTGTTACCTGCTGTAAGCTCCTCCCCCTGCTGTGAGCTGTTACCTGCTTCAAGCTCCTCCCCCTGCTG